GAGGAAAGGAAAGAAAAGGAAAAAAACGACAGGAGGAAACGGAGCGAAAAAAAAAGTAGAAGAGAGAAAAAAAAAAAAAAAAAACAGAGAAATATGTGCTGAAAATCACAGCGCGCCATTCTCTCCCTCCCTCTCCCTCCCCCTTCATCTCTCCCTCTTTCCCTCTCCCTCCCTTCCCTTCCTGTCTCCCTCGCCGCGTAAATCATGCGGCCACAAACGGGGAGGTCACACGGCGGCGGGTGACGGCGACATGGCCCACGCACCCTTTGATCCTCCCTTCACCCTTCCCCTTCTCCCTTGGTCGCCTCGCCGCCCCAAAGCACAAACAGCGTCGCCCTTTCAGACACACAAACATTAGAGGCATCACTTGAAAGGCGGATGGGGAGGGGGAAGGAAGAGAGAGAGATGAGATGAGATAGAGGAAGGATAAGAGGAGGGAAGAGGGGAGGAGAGAAAGAATAGAGGAGAAGGAAGGAAAGAGAGAAGAAGAAGAGAGGAAAGAGGGAAAAAGGAGGAGGGAAAGAGGAAGAAAGAGAGGAGGGAGAGAAGAAAGAGGGGGAGGGAAAGAGAAGAAAGAGAAGAGGGAAGAGAAAGGGAAGAATATAAATAACGGAAAAGGAACACATGACAAATGCCGACACCCTGAGAACGGCGCTCACACGAAAGAGCAATAAAAATGAACGAAAGAAAACCCACAGATGAACAAGAGGGGAAAAATGCACATGCTCTTCGGTCTCCTTATGGAAAACGATGCATAAAGGAGGACAGAATAAGCCAAGAGAAGAGAGACAAAAAAAAAGTCGAGTAGGGAGGGAGAGGAGAGGGGGAGGAGGGAAGGGGGGGGAAAGGAGGGGGATGGAGGGGAGGAAAGGAGGGGAGAGGAGGGAAAAAAGAGAGAGGGACCACGGCACACGAGAAGAGGAAGGAGGGGGAGGCAACCCAGAGAGAAGAGTGGGAGTACGGAGGGGGGGAGGGAGGGAGAGGGGAGTGGAAGGAGAAGAGGGGGGGGAGGGGGGGGGTAGAAAGGAATACACTCGGCCATCTCAAGGGAGGCGGACCAGCCGGCCCACCCCGACGCCCTCATTTAATACACTAATAGAGGAATTTCGTTTTTATTTACCCTCTTGCCCTGCCCCCTCCCTCCCCTCCCCCTCCCCTTCCCCTCCCTCTCCTCTCCCCCCCCTCCCTCTCTCTCCCTCTCCCTCTCCCCCTCTCTCTCTCTCTCTCTCTCTCTCTCTCTCTCTCTCTCTCTCTCTCTCTCTCTCTCTCTCTCTCTCTCTCTCTCTCTCTCTTCTCTCTCTCTCTCTCTCTCTCTCTTCTCCTCTCCCTCTCCCTCTCCCTCTCCCTCTCCCTCTCCCTCTCCCTCTCCCTCCCTCTCCCTCTCCCTCTCCCTCTCCCTCTCCCTTCTCCTCTCCCTCTCTTCCCCCCCCCCCTCTCTCTCTCTCCCTCCCTCTTCTCCCTTCTTTGTCTCTTTTTACAACCCCCTAAATCTCCCAACTTTCGGGTCGTGTCCCAACGTTTCCATAAGGCGTTGTGGGAGATTTCGTGCGCGTGACGCTGCAGTTCTTATCAAAATTAAAAAGCTTTTTTTTTTTTTCGTGGCGTTCTTCATTTTGCGCCATTCATTTTTGTTTTTTTTTTTCCATAAAATCGTCTTGCAAGGAAAGGGATGCGACCCTCGAGACTCTGTGTGTGTGTGTGTGTGTGTGTGTGTGTGTGTGTGTGTGTGTGTGTGTGTGTGTGTGTGTGTGTGTGTGTGTGTGTGTGTGTGTGTGTGTTGTGTGTGTGTGTGTGTGTGTGTGTGTGTGTGTGTGTGTGTGTGTGTGTGTGTGTGTGTGTGTGTGTGAGTGTGTGTATGTGTGTGTGTGTGTGTGTTGTTGTGAGTGAGTGAGTGAGTGTGAGTGAGTGAGTGAGTGAGTAGTGAGTGAGTGAAGAGAGATGAGAGAGAGGAGAGAGAGAGAGAGAGAGGAGAGAGAGAGAGAGAGAGAGAGAGAGAGAGAGAGAGAGAGAAGAGAGACGAGAACATGAAAAATTAAAACGAAAAAGCCAAAAAAAGAACGCAGAAACGAGACAAAAAAAACAAAAAACAAAAACAAACCCTGCAATCGAGAGACGGCCCACGAGAGCCTCCACCGCCCAGGCCCAACACCTGCACCGCCCTCTCGCGTATTGTTCCCGCGGGTTCCAATCTCCGGCGTGTATCTGATGTCCGCCGATTGGGGAACCTCACGCGGGTTCCCTTATTAGCAGCCCCAGCGTGCGCCACGGAGCCCAAAAGCATCGCCCTGGTCGTTCCTCTCCCCATTTACCTGCGCGGACTCTTGTCGTTCCGCGGGGTCGTCGCCAGGTGCAATGACCTCCCCACCCCCTATGCTCCCATCCCCCATGCTCCCTTCCGCCCCTATCCCTTTCCTCCCATTCTCCTTCTCCCTCTCGTCTTCTTCCGACTTATTCTCCTTCTCTGTCTCTTCCCTCTCACCTCTCTGATTTATTCACCTTCTCTCCGATCACCTCCACCATTTTTTTCTCCTCCTCCTCCTCCTCCTCCTCCTCCTCCTCCTCCTCGGTGCATCTCGCTGGTACTGGCTCGGTACTTTGGTACTCACGAAGGGTAAAGAAATGAAGGTAAAGAAGCCAAAGACAAAGGGATGGAGGGTTAAGGCATGGTAAAGGCAAGCCAAAGGGAGGACAAAGCAAGTAAAAGGCAAAGGCAAAGGCAAGGCAAATATGACCAAAAGGCAAAGCAAGGCAAGGGACAACCAGCCGAGGCAAGGCAAGGCAAGGCAAGACCCTACCTAACCCGGGCAAGGGAGCGAAAGGCGATCACCTGGCCCTAACGAGGCTATTGTTGCATCTCCCGGGGCTACTTACGACGGCCCCGAAGCCCCCTACCGCCCGGACGCCTCCCACCAGCTGACTTCGGCGACGCGGCGGAAAAAACCGAACACGAATGCGAATCGAATAGCAAAAGAAGAGAGGCGAAGAGAAAGATAAAAACGGAAACGGAGATACGGATAGAACACAGAAGAACAAGACGGAGACGAACCAGAAATGAGAAAGAGAAGACAACCCATATTACCACCAGGGAATGGGGTAAAAAGAAGAAAAAAAAAAACAGCGACGGGGAAGAGAAGAGAAATCACGCCCGCCTCTTCACCAGACGCCCTCCTCCTCTCGCGCCTCACGCCCACGCACCACACACGCCCTCGCCCACTTGGCCTCTCTCGGCGCGCTTCCCAAACACAGCTCGTCAGTGTCGCGCGCCGTGTGTTCATTTCCACGTCCCGGCGCGGCGGCGACACCCTCCTATCAATTATAAGCTTCTCCAAACACCGGAGCCGAGACGCCGGGCATCTTTAATTCAGCGCCAATTAAATGTTTTGCCAGCCGCCCGCCTCGCTCCCGTCCGCGCCGTCTTCATCAACTTCTTTCGCCCCATGCCAAAAAAGTAAAAAAAAAAAGAAAAAAGGATATAAATAATAAATATACTTCGAAAGTGTGTGTCTGTGTGGGGGGGGGGGGCAGGGAGGAACCTCAGAGGGGGGGTGAGGGAGGAGGAGGAGGTGGAGGAAATCCCAGGTTAATTATACAGCTCGGTATTAACGTATTCAAAACAAAGGCCTTGTTTACATGCATTTTTCTGGGGTGGCGATCTCTTCTCTCTCTCTCTCTCTCTCCCTCCCCCCCCTCCCTTCCCCCCCCCCCCCCCCTCCCCTTCCGAAACAGCTGGGCACGACAGGATTTCGGAAAGAAAAAATAATCGAAAATCGTAAACTACCCGTAATCCTCGACCTATAATGAAGTTAATCCGCGACGAGCCAAGGACGTGTAGCGATCGAGAGGGACTTGTCCGCGCTCATTTATACCGGGCGAATAGGTTCCATTGCCTTTTTTTTCTCTTTCTTTTTTCTCTCTCTCTCTCTCTCTCTCTCGGGCCCTTCTGCGGATTTCTATCCATCTCTCTCTCTTTCTTTCTCTCTCTCTTTCTCTCTCTCTCTCTCTCTCTCTCTCTCTCTCCTCTCTCTCTCTCTTCTCTCTCTCTCCTCTCTCTCTTCTCTCTCTCTATCCTCTTTTTCTTCTCCCTTTCTCTTACTCTCTCTCTCTCTCTTTCCCCTATCCGTCTATTTAGTCCTCTTTTTCTTCTCCCTTTCTCTCTCTCTTTTTCTTTCACTCTTTCTTTTTTTCTCCATTTCCCCGTCTCTCCCCCGTCCCGTCCTCCCCTCCCTTCCCTCCCCTAGATATAAAACCCCGCATAAAAGAGCCTCAACACCCCTTCTTTCCTCCTTCATCGCTTAAAAAGAGAATCCGAGCGGGGAAATCGCCCCTTACAAAAAAGGCTTCCCGACACCGACGACCGCGCGATATGCAAAGCGACCGAGGATCCCCGATGGAAACTTATTAAACTGAACCGCGTCGACTTGGATTAAGACTTTAACCCCCGTTTATTTTCTCGATTTACAGCGTCCCTAAGCAAGGCCGAGGACTGGAGCTCAAGAGGGACGGCGATACGGGCGCCACAGGGTCGAAAACCTCGCGCCGGACGATGGGGCTCTCGACCATGCCGACCGCCGCGTGGGGGTGGCATCTGTCAGCGCCTGGTTAGCGTCAACGACCTGGCATTGGGTGCCTGTGTGCCTCGCTAGCACCTTGTTATCACCCGAGAGCGGCACCGTTCACGCGACCAGGCTCTCCGCGCTGGCACTAAGCACCCGCTGCTATCGCGACGGTCTATAAACACTCCGTCGGGGATGTCGCGGGAGAAGAGACAAATAGGGCGACGAGGGATAAATGGGGACGGATCAAACGAGAAGAATTGCTGAAACGCGCTGGCTGCTAACGAACCTCTTTCCGTTTTCTTTTTCTCTTTTCAAATATTTAAACCGTAACGGCTTTCGGCGTTGTTACTTACGCTGGCACTTGCAAAAAAAAAAAAAAAGGACAAACATATAACCCTACATCTGCAAAGAAAAGGCCGAAAGGCAACAGAGAAGCGTACTCACCCCGGCGGCGGGGCACTTGCCGTCGAGGATGGGCCCCGAGATGTACTCCATGCTGCGGTACTGCATGGAGCCGTTGAAGCACATGTGGATGTTCTCGTTGAACTTGGCCTCCACGTCGCGCACGGAGTACACGCACACACACGGCCGACGACGCCTGGGGGCTGGCCGTGTGGCCCTGGGACGGCGCGAACACGCCCACCAGGATGGGGTCGCCCACGCCCACGCCCATGCTGGAGGCCAGGTCGCTGCCGGCGCTGACCAGCTTGGCGTCCTGCACCAGGTTGTAGTTGGTGCCGTCGGCGCCCTGGCACTCGAGCGTGATCTCCGTGTACGAGTCGTAGTTGGCGTCGGAGATGCAGGTGCGGGCCAGGCGCGAGATGTAGCCCGACTCCTCCTGGCCCGGCAGGTGCGACTTCTTCTGCACCGTCACGAAGTAGGCGTAGTCGCTGGCGTTGAAGCCGTACACGTACTGCACCAGGAAGTGGTCGCGGTACTTGACGTCGATCCGCAGCAGCGACTGCTCCGAGAAGGAGAACTCGGCGTAGTCCAGGTTGTACAGGTTGCGGGTGGAGATGGCGGGCACGTCGTGGCGGTAGTCGCCCACGGTGGTGAAGGTCGTGCCCACGTACAGCGCCGACGACCCGCCCCACGGGTTGTAGCGCTCGGGCCCCACGAAGGCGTACGTGGACGACTCGGGGTCGTTGGCGGCCACGGAGCGCGGCAGGAACTCTGGCGTGAGGGAGATGTTGGCGGTGCGGAACTTCTCGCAGGCGCCCTGCGACACGGAGCCGCACATGATGAGCGTGCTGGCCTCGGGGTCCAGCACCAGCACCTTGTTCACGTTGTCGGTAAGTACTCTGGCCACGCGGCGCTCGGGGCCGCAGCCGGAGGCGTGGCAGCGCGGCGAGTCGAACCGCGGGCCCGTCTCCACCTGCGCCCGCAGCTCCAGCCGCTCCACGCCCAGGGCCCACAGCCGGTTGGTCCCGCCCACGTACAGGACGCCCGCGCCCCTGTTGTACACCATGTGCTGCAGCGCCAGACTCTGGTTGCGCGTCCAGAACTGCGCCACGAGGGGGTGCTCGCTCTCGCCGGCGTCCGCGCCACTGTCACCGCCGCTGGCACGGTGTGTCCGGTGTCCAGCTGTCACACACGCCCCAAACACTAACACCAAAAAGACTAGATCACTCACGCCCACCCCCCTCGCCCTCGGCCCACATCTGGTCCCCATCAGCGTGCGGGTATGTGTGTGGCCCGCAGACTGGCCCGCCTCTTGGTCCACCCGCGCGGGCCTGCGGGCCGGGCCGGGGGCGTCGTCTGGAGTGCCACACTCACACATAGTGCCGCGGGGGGCGCTGCTCCCGCCCACGCCCGCCCATCAACACCATCCAACACTGCGACACCTGCAACAGAAGAAAGGCAATTAGTTCATGTCATTAAACAAACAATATACATACATGCATACATTTATGTGTGCGTAAATTACAAACACAATGAAAATAATATACAATTAAGCATGTGCTCTCCCTGCCCACATATAAATGAATGCAGGCGGCCCCCTCCTCCCCCTCATTCCCTACGCCCCAGAGGCCAGGACAGGAGGGCGCGCCGTGCATGCAACACCTCGACATCGCCGCGACCTTGGCCACCACGGAGCCTTCGTCCCCCGCCGCACACAAAGCAAAAAAAGAGAGAAAATCAAAATGCAGAAACAAACGCGAACGCCGATAAAACAAGAGAGCGAGAGGGACGGAGGCGCTACCCCCCCCCCCCCCCCCCCCCCCAGATCCCGTTGCCATCGGAATCAACGCAATGCCAAGAAATATTATGGGGAAGGGAAGGGGTATGAGGATATATGAAGAGGATGGGTTGATAGGAGGGGAGATAGGAGGGGAGATGGGAGGGAAGAGGAAGGGAAAGTCAGAGAAGAGAAGAAGAAATAATATTCCAAGTAAGACACGAAAAGAGAAGTAAAAGAAGTAAATAAAAAGGTAAGAAAGAGAAAGACACCCAAAACAACCCGAACTTCAGAACGGAAAAAAAAAAACCGCCCAAGAAGCCAAGACGGAAGCGAGACGGGCCGGCGCAAGGACGAGGGCGCGTCCAGGCCCACCGCGAGTTATGGCCCCACGCCCCTGACTGCCCAGCCGAGTCCCAGGCCAATCAATAAGAGGGACGTCGCCGGTATGCAAATGCCAAGTAACCAGCTCAGAATACCTCTTAACATATATACATTTACAATGCTTGGCGCTCCAACCGCCCAGCTCCTGCAAGCCACCCGGCGGAGGGAGAGGCGAAGGGAGGCGAGAGGAGGCGGAGAGGCGAAGGGAGAGGCGAGGGGAGGCGAAGGGGAGGCGAAGGGGAGGCGGAGAGCAGAGTGAGGCGATGTAGAAGGTGAAGAGGAAGAAGAGATGGCAGAGAGGGTCGGAGGAAGAAAGAGGAGGTGAAGGAGAAGGACGTTAAGGAGGAGGTGAAAAACGAGGGGGGAGAGGAGGAAGAGGAGAATAAGGAGAAAGAGAATAAAGTATGAGGAAGAGGTGAAGAAAAGAGGAAGGAGGAAGGACGAAAAAGAAAGAGAAAGGCGGTTGACAATGAAGGAGAAGCAACAGGAAAAGGAACAGCAGGAAAATGAGAAGAAGACAAGAAAAGCGCAAAACACAGAGGAGCCGATGATGGCGCAACCACAGAGATGGGACGATAACAAAGAGATCATGAGACGACCCCGAATGAGGGAGACAAAAGAAACCAACCGATAATTAAGGCTAGGAGGCCAACGACAGGGAATACGAATAGTGACCAATGAAGGAGAGATAATAAGGAACAGGCGAAAGAATGTCAAGAAGGCAGAACGAGGAGGAGACAACAGAGGAGAGGAGCGGAGAGAGAGATAAAAGGAAAGAAAGAGAGTAAAGGCTAGAGGAGATGCGAAAAGAGAAGAGAGGAGAGACGAAAAGACGAGAAAAGAGGAAGGGAGAGGAGAGAAGAGAAAGGAAGAGCACAGAAGAGCAAGAAGACACGAGAAGAGAAGAAGAAGGAAAAGAGAGAAGAGAGAGGGCAGGAGGGGAGGGGAGCGAGGAGGGAGGAGAGGAAGGAAGGAGGGCGAAGGATAATCCGGTCAGTTATGTCGCTCGCACACAAGTCTCAGGATTCCATAGCTCTGCGTCCGTCGCCTACCTGGCCGCCGCTCCTCTCCTCCTCTCCTCCTCTCCTCCTCCAATTAAGTCATTCACCTGGAGAGAGGGAGGGAGGGAGAAGGAGGAGGGAGAGAGGGAGAGGGAGAGAGGAGAGAGAGAGATAGAGGGAGAGAGAGAGAGAGAGAGGGAGAGAGAGGGATGGAGAGAGGAGAGAGAAGAGGAGAGGAGAGAGAGAGGAGAGGAGAGAGGAGGAGAGAGAGAGAGAGAGAGAGAGGAGAGAGAGGAGAGAGAGAGAGAGAGAAGAGGAGAAGAGAGAGAGAGAGAGGAGAGAGAGAGAGAGAGAGAGAGGCGAGAGGAGGAAGAGGGAATAAGAAAGAGGAGAACAGGAAGCAGACGAGAAGCGCAGAAAATCGATGCAAAAGGAGAGAGGAAGGGAAAGCCAATCCCCCCCCCCACCCCGCCACCCACGCCCGCCCGGCCGGCCACTCGCCAAATGACGAAATTTAAGGGCGAAGGGAAAGACCTCTCGCAAACACGGGACACGACGGACGGGAAATATTTCGCTCGCCAGGGTGGGAGAGACCAAATGAAAAATTCCACGCACACGTTCCCCTCACCCTCACCCCCCCCCTCCCTAAAAAAACGGGTAACAAAAGGGAATATCACGACAGAACAAATCTGAAAAAATAAACAAAAGGAAGAAAAAAAAGAATCTATTTAATCTAAACCACAAAGTTATCCCCCCTAAAAAACGGGCTGATAAAAGGAATATCACGACAGAACAATAAAAATACACAAATAAACAAAGGAAAAATATAAAAAAAATCAATTAATCTAAACCACAAGTATCCCCCCCCCAAAAAAAAAAGTCTCAAAAAAGGAACATCACCACAAAAAAGAAGAAAAAAAAATAAACAAAGAAAAAAAAATACAAAAAATCTACCCGATCTCCCCACAGACCACGCCCGGACTCCCCAGATCTCCCCCGAAAGCCTCGCAAGACACTCGCAAGCATACTTCCCGTCGGACCTTCCCAGGGGCTTGACTCCTCGTGGCTCCGCGACCTCGGCGACCGGCCGAAAGCCAATCTCGTTCCGCGATCTTGCCGCCTCGGGACGCTCCCCGCCCGAGCGACACAAACAGACTGAGGCGAAGATCTCCTCCTGAGACGCTGCTAATCCTTCGCCCAAAGAGCAGGAAGAGGGAGAGAGAGAGGGAAGAGAGAGGGGAGAGAGAGAGAGAGAGAAGGAGAGTGAGGGAGAGGGAGAAGGAGAGAGGGGAGAGAGAGAAGAGAGAGAGAGAGAGAGAGAGAGAGAGAGGAGAGAGAGAGAGAGAGAGGAGAGAGAGAGAGAGAGAGAGAGAGAGAGAGAGAGAGAGGGAGAGAGAGAGAGAGAGAGAGAGAGAGACAGAGAGGAGACAGACAGAGAGAGAGAGACAGAGAGAGAAGACAGAGAAAGAGAGAGAGAGAAGAGAGAGAGAAGAGAGAGAGAGAGAGAGAGAGAGAGAGAGAGAGAGAGAGAAGAGAAAAGAGAAGAGAAAGAAAGAGAGACAGACAGCGACAAAAGAGAGACGCGAGAAAAAATAATAATCCGAAGGCACTCCCGCCACTTGAATCGCCGTCGACTTGACCCTCTTATCTGGCGATCTCCCCGAAAGCAAAAGGCAAATAAAAAGCGAGATAATTATCCCTTGGATGTTGCCGAGATCGATAAATCCGTCCGGGTAGAAGGCGGCCCCGGGGCTCCGGACACGTCAGACCCCGACCGCAGAGGTGCGAGGTTAAAGACTAGAAGAAGACGAAGAACACGCTGGCACACCCAAGCTCCTCGCTCCCCTCTCCCTCCCCCTCCCCCATTCAATCCTCTATCCCCTTCCCCCAGCTCCTCGCTCCCCCTCCCTCCTCCCCCCCCTTTCAATCCTCTATCCCCCTTCCCTTCTCCCTCTTCCCTTCCCCTTCTCCCCTTTCCCTCTTCCCCCCTTCCCTCCCTTCCCTCCCCTCCCCTCCCCGCCCCCGGCCCCCCCGTGCGCTCCCCCGTATGTCCGTCTCGGGTCGGATCTCGCTCGGCCACAAGTGTTAAGCCCGACCAAGGCCCGCTTTTGTCAACAAACGTGTCCGACACCTGAAAGCGGCTCTGACCTTGGCTTGCTTCCAGGTGTGTGTGTGAGAGAGAGTGCGGGTGCGAGTGTGTGTGTGTGTTTATGTGTCCCAGGGAGAGGGACAATTTTTTTTCTATGTCGGATATCTTTGTCTCTCTCTCTCTATCTATCCTTCTTCTTCTTCTCATCCTCCCCCTTCTCCTTCTCCTTCTTCTTTTCCTTCTACTTCCCCTTCTCCTCCTTTTACTTCTTCATCTTCTTCTTCTTTCTCTTTCTCTTTCTCTCCCCCTCACTCCCTCTCCCATCTACCCCCAAACCTACCCTCTCCAAAAAAGAAATTAAAAAATCAAAGATAAAAACAAGAACGAACAAACATCGGCTCTATCGAGGCCCCGGAACAGACACTCGCACAAACAAGACAGACAGAAACAGACAGACAGACAGACGGGCGGACAGGTCATCAAGTCGTCTCTCCGGGGCCGAAGGGCAGGAGGGCAAGAGGCCGACCATCGTTAGTTTTAATGATGTCCGAATCTTGCCCCGGCAGGTGGGGCGGCGAGGGCGGCCGAGTGTCTGCGCATCTTTTTCCGTATTCGAGATCTGTATGTCTGTCTGTGTGTCATTCTGTTTCTATGTCTGCGTCTATGTTGTCTGTCTGTCTGTCTGTCACTGTCTCTGTCTCTCTCTCTCTCACACACGCACGCACACACACATATATATTTCTGGATTCTGCCTTTTCACGAACGAATGGATACCATCTTTAAGACAGAGAAAAAAGAAAGAAAAGAAGAAGAAACAGAATTAGGGAAGAAAAAAGGGAAGAAAGAAGGATAATGATGCCGAAAAGACACAAGAGACAGGCCATGTACGTACATCCGCGGCATGCGCCCCCATCCGCGCTCGCGGGCGTACAAAGCGCCCTCGCGTGCGTGCGGCCATACGTCCACCTGCCCCCGTGTGTGCGTCTCCATGTTTACCTATACAAGCAGAGCGATAAATCCCGCAGAGGAGCCCGAAATCCCAGCAAACACGTCCATTAGGAGCCTCCCCGCTGAACGATGCGACCATCGGCGCGGCCGCGTATTTCTTGGGGCCAATTCCATGAGTC